CCTCTTTATCCTCATTTTTTTTCTTTCGTAACCCAACACACACCCTTTGCGAAGAACCATAGCAAACGACCACCACCCCTAACAAACGACCACCACCCCTAATGGTAAACAACAACCACCATCACCCACTTCGAACCACAATCACCAACCCAATGCGAACCACCACTTCAAACTACCACCACCATCCTACTGTGAACCATCATGACCCCCCCGTTGTGAACCATTTACTCTCCAATATGCACAATCAAATTAAAACACTATCCTTCAAATCAAAACTTTGTTCTTCAAATCAAAAACACCAAACTAAACCCTATTCTACAAATTAAAACCTAATTTAAACTTTGAAATGGAAATCACGGTGAGAATTGATTTCAATTTCAATTTTCCTTTTTTGCGCCAGGGAAAATATTGTTTCTTTTCCGTCCAAATCAATGTGTAACGAAGTCTCTCTACCATCGGATTCACATCCTCCATGGGTCCTAACTGTTGAAGGAGAAAATGGTTGGTTGTGGTTGGCTGTGTTAGAATTGAAATTGGTGTACTACGTGTTGGGTGGAGATAATGGTGGTGATGGGTGGATTGTGTGAGTACGTGTATGATTGGAGGTTGCTCACTAGAAGTAAATTTGGTAAATTGTTAAAAGTTTTATGGGTAAATATGTAAAATAATAGATTCCGTTACCACTGTATTAGATAAACCCTAACAAGGGGTGCCAAAGAAGTTTCAAAAATGTATGAGGGATCTTTGAAGATATGTTAATCTAGAGGGTTGTGCTGAATTTTCCCAAATTGAATTATGGTTATTAACACTTTTAGTTCCTAAAATATGCATATTTTACCAATTTAGTTATTAAAATATTAATTTTATAATTTTATACCTAAAATATTCAATTTATATTTAAATAATTTTTACATAGACGAACTGTTAAATTTTTGATTGAATAATCACGTATTACACACGTGATACCGTTTGAAAAAAATGAGACCCGGTCACCTCCATGAAAAATTTTGGCAAATTGTCTAATTAGGGACTTGATAAATTTTTGACAGAATGATCACGTGTTATACACGTTATAATTTGAAAAAATAACATGTGATCACTTTTGTTAAACAATTTAATAAATTATCTGATTACAGATCAAAGTGATACAAATTAAATACTTTATGAACCATATTCATATAGTTAGAACCAAATTGACAGAATAAACATACTTAAGAGGCTAAAAATGTTATTAATCCTTTGAATTATATTCAGTTTAATGTGTCTAAACGAGCATGTCACATTCCACTATGGAGGCCACATCAAACGACACACGCTGCTATCTTACGCACGCACGTACAGGTACACCTTCCTCAACATAGGCCCATACCATGGACAACATACTATCTAGCATCGAGTCACCGACCGTCATTTCGCTGTTTACAGACTCTTTTTCTCTCTCTTTCGGAGGAGTCACCCATTTGCTCAAAATTTCAATTCTTTTGATTTTTTCGATGTGCCATCTTCTTGATATATACGCGTGATCATTGATCAATACATTGAATTCAACTCCCTCGAAGGTAAGCGTTTTCCGGAGTTTTTCCCAAAAATCTTTCGTTTTTTGTTAATGGGTATTTGTGTATTTGTACATACACGCGAATGTATTTATCATATGTATTTTGTTTAGGTGATTTTATGTCTCTGCAAATTTGTGTCGGTCCTTTTGTGATAATTCTTTGTGTATACATGTCTGAGGAATTTGCAGTTCTTGGTGGATGATCATCACATTGATGGGTGAGCCAATCGATTTCCGTTTGATATATATTAGTTTCAGATTCTCTTTATGTTTCTTTGGTGAAAATTATTTATTTTTTCTTGCAAGAGTTAATAAAATTTGAACTTTGTATATCATTAGCGGTGATTGGATTAATTTTTCATAAAGAAAAAAGGATTTCTTTAATCATAGATTGTCCGATGTGTAAATTGCCTTTTTCTGGTTGGATTTTCTGCATATAGATGAGTATGAATGAGTGGGGTGATTCAGCATTTAGTGGTTTGAAGATGAGTGATTGGTTTTGTTTATCATCTAAGATATAGTTGTGAATAGATGCAAGCGTTCCAGCTGCAGTCTGTACTAAGGGCGTGCCATTTGTTGTATCAAAGGGTTTTTCTTATTTTTAATGTATCCCACATTTGCAGTGCAACTCTATGAAAGTGGGTTTAACTGGATGTATTCTCATTGGAGATATATTCGTTGCACTAGCTTTGAAATGTCACCATGTATATTTTGGTTTCTTGTTAGCATAAGAATCTGTGCGTATGGTGTTCCATGTTTCAAGCATAATCGATGGACATCATGTTAGTGTTCTGGGATATATAATAGTAGAAAGGAAAGATGCCGGAGAATGAGAAAGAAGACGATTTTGATAAGGGAGGGAATAGAAGCGACTTCCAAACATAAATGGCAGAAAAATAAGAAGGAAGGGCTATGAGAAGAAAAATGTGTGTGTGTGTGTGTGTGTGTGAGAGAGAGAGAGAGAGAGAGAGAGAGAGCAAATCATTTCATATTGTTTATAACCTGAAATTTATCAACCTTCCCTTTTTATTCATCTCTAGTTTGAGGCTTTGTGTAGGCTTGTTTTACAACCCTAGGCTAGGCACACAAAAAACACCCAATACCTGTGAAAATTATGACCAAGAATAGCTGTACAACACCTAAAATGACTCTAAAAACACGATTTGAGCTTCCATACATGTATAAATATTACTAGATACTTGAGAAAGGAAAATAACATTTACATCCAAATTGACTGCACTCTTATTAAACTTGAATGGTTAAAAATTCACTTGAACAAGAAGGACCTTTGATTTTGATAACATCTTGCATGCATAGGTCATGAGAAATTGTATTGCCTCATTCTACTCTGTTGGGAAGAAATTTGGCCTTAAATATAAAAAGGGAGGCTCCTTCAATTTTTGTAATCAATGTTTTGGTTCTAATATATGAAATAATGTATGTTGTGCAATCTAAGAAGCACAGATATGGACATAGGATATGGATACGACCCAAACACGCAAATACAATATCTCTCAAAAAAGTAGAATACGGTACATTAGGGACACGCTATAGATAATTGTATTTTATTTATAAAATTATATAATTTATAGTGATAATAATGTATAATTCATAAAAAAAATTAGTTTTTTATGATAAGTAAATATTATATCTAATCATATAGTGTGAATTTTTAGACTAACATCATAATAATCAATAATTATCAATTTTTTTGTGGATGTGTACTAAACATATTAATTCAAATGGTTGTTCTCATTTTCTCAAATGCTCTTTTCTAAATGTTTTGCTTTTGTTATTATATTTTGAGTATAACTTTAACATGTCTAGTTTTAGTAATTATATGATATCTCATAGTATAATATACTCAATAGTCAAATTTTTAAACTTTGTTAATCACATGTCAACACATGTTTATTAATAGTAGGTACAGTATAAAGAATTGTTGGACGCATGTTTGATTATGGACACGAATAAAAGAGTATCGAACACGTGTCCAAGGAGTGTCAGTGTCCGACACGAATACATAAACTTCTTGAGAGTGTTCGTGCTTCATGTTGTGCAATTAATAGCATCTCCAGTGAAGGAAATTTTATTCCATGTGATCCAAGGAATTTATTACGTGCCAATTGATTGATGTTCTTGCCTTAATCATTATAATAGACTTACCTATTAAATTTCCACTAGAGCTGATGAGTGAAATGACCATTTATTTGTCTGCAGATGTCATTGGGTGTTGGCAAAGATTACTAATCAACAAACTTTTGTCTTCAAAATTTGATCTCCAACAAAGTTATTGATAACTGCTCCTCCACATAGTTTTGGACCTCGAGTTGATAGTTAAGTTCTTATCCAAAGATCTTGCAACAATATCAAACTTGATGTGACCAATGCTAGGTTAATTAAAATACGAAAATAGAAAGAGAAGTGGAAGGAGAGTTAGAAGAATTCCAAAAGGGAGGGTGCAATATCAGCTTTGAAACTAGATCATGAGAAAGAGCTAAGAGACAAAGAAGGGAGAGGAGAGAGAGAGAGAGAGAGAGAGAGAGAGAGAGAGAGAGAGACCATGGTTTTTAATAATGTTTACTAGCTCAACATTTGTCACCCCTTGGCAACAGTAGTTGGTCTTTCCTAAAAGTTTATTTTGTAGCAGAGAACATAATAAACACCTAATTTCAAGCATATCGGCCAGGTTCTGGAGGTATAAAACACCTTCACTGACTTGCTAAAGATGACTCCAGCTTTAGTATAAACTTTTTATTATTTTTAGACAAAAATATTTGGAAAGGGAAGAAAGAATCTATGTTAAAACAATCTCAACTTGTAGAAAATATGTGCCTTAAAGACTTCCTAATTAAATTTTGATCACTTGTTGCAAGCAACTCCCTATATTGATCCCATATTCTGCCAAAGTAATTAGTAAATAAGATGTACACAGATTTTTACTCGTACAGGAAATGTTGTATAAGGAGGATGCATCTAGTTGAAGTTCCGTTTTGTGGGATTTTAATAATCTTTCGATAGAACACGAAGCATCATATATTTGAAAAATAACTTATTGAAGTTTCACAACTTAAACCACATCTCTGGCTCTTCTTTTTGACACATTGGAGTTGAATTGGCAACACTGTGACTCATTGGAGTTTGAATCTACTTTGTGATTTTGTTTTCAAATTGTGGTTAACATATATTAGATGTTTAATCCTTGTTTCAAATTTATGAAGGTTAATGAATGGTTAAATGCTTCTTAAAATCACAATTCAGATTGATGATATTTGATCCTACATATAAAGAGACTATTTACAGTCTTACTATATTCAAATTGATGTCCCATTGTTTCGTGAATCAGCGCTTGACATACTTTGAAATGTATCTAATATTCTTCAAATAGTTTGCTATCATTTGGTAATTTCTTCTCATTGATCTGTTACTTCTGTTGAAATTTTTTAGGTTTAATTTATTTCAACTTTTTTGGGGCTGGAAAAGAAAGTAACGAAAAGGTTTCTTCTTACATGGGAAAAGGATGCCTGATTTGAGAAGCGGAGTTCGACGATCAAAAAGGGTCAACAACGTTGAGGAGAATCCTGTTTTTGTAGTTCCAACTCCTCGGTGTGGCACAGGAAGAGGTAAGTCCCAAATTCACCTCTTCAATTTTGCGAACCCAGTGAATTGAGCATATCTCAATGCAGGGTCAAGGCTAGCTAATAGAGGTAGAGGGTGTGGTGCTGGAGTTGGGGGTCGAGGGCGCATAGGTTTTGACGTCGCACTGAAAGAAATGGACGCTATTCCTAATGATATTGTGGCTGAGAAAAGGAAAGAATTGGCTCCTGTTGAGGAGGAAGGAAGTACAAATCCTCTTCCTGAAAGGGTACCAGTTTCTCTTTGGATTTTTTTTAGATTCTTCTTTTGATAATGTTTCTCTTTTAGTTTATCTTATGTTTCAATCAATTCTACAGCCAGAATTAATGCATATTTAGTCTCAATATTTGCATTGTAGAATGCAAGACGAATAGCAAACAAACAAATCATGACAGTCCAATTAGCTGCAATAAATAAGCAGCAGAACATTTAATGTTTTATCGAGAAATTATGTTGGTATTCCTCTTATGTTGATCTACTTAGATGCAACGGTTATTGGTCAAGTTTTCCATCATTACATGAAATAAATGAGTTCTTTTTGGTAAAGATACATTACTATGCATGACATTTAATTCCTTATACTTGGGCATACACCTTTGCAGTGTCAAACTGAATACATGGTGATTATAATGGGAATTCTAACCTTGATTATGACAATTAATACTGATCAATGCCTATTTTATAGAAGTGTCTTGAGGGTCCTGAAGGTTGGTGGAATCAACATGTCTTGAAAGAGTTTACTGAGGATCTTTTGGCTTCCTTAGGATATCAAAAGGCTGAAACTGGCCTCTTGACATGATTAAGGGTTTGCACTTTGCAGAAAGCATTAGATTATCTTAGGATCACATTGATGCGATCATACATATAGATTTTGAGCATGATAGGTGCTCCAATTGTGCTAAAATGTCACGAGGGATGAGATTACCCAAACAATTCCTATTTCATTTTGTGTATAGGATCACTTCTTGTGGAATATAAATAGAGGTTAGTTCTTGTACTATTATAAATCCTAATTCAGTGGAGGAGTCTGTCGTCGTAATTTCTATGCTTTAGTTGGAAACACAGTGTTTAACTATAATTTCCTTATGATGAAAATCAGTATTATAGCATATAGCATGTATTGACAATGAAGTTTTCACTGTTGTCCTAGTCTCCTCCTCAACAATTACCCGACAAAAAGAGATTTGGTGTGATTTTTAATGCTTTAGTGAGGGCATACACATCCTATTAAAGAAAAGAATCCTTTTTTTCCCTAATGGGTGGATATAATATCTTATGTGTGAAGTTGTGGAATTGTTAAAAAGCTTTTGTAAAGGGAAATTAATTACAAAATTCAATACTAGTAGTTGATATCATTGTCTCCCACGATTTTGGTTTCTAGAGGGTTGAACTTATATTTGTGTATTGTTATTTTATAATCAGGTGAAGCTTGGCAATTCCCCTGTATACAAGTTGGAGAGAAAGCTGGGTAAAGGGGGCTTTGGGCAAGTTTATGTCGGAAGAAGGGTAACAGGCGGCTCAGGGAGTACGGGCCCTAATGCTGTTGAGGTACATATAGCTGTAGAGAAGCTTTAGTAGATCTAAAAAAAATTCTTGGGAGTTGACTGTTGCTAACAGTGGTGTCCTTTTATTCTTTATTTTTTTTGGTGGTGTGCCATGTGTTAGGTTGCTTTAAAGTTTGAGCTTCGCAATAGTAAGTCGTGTAGTTATGGCCCTCCTTATGAGTGGCAAGTTTACAGGTAGGCAAGATTTCATCCATTGAGTTAATTGCAATGCATTTCATTTTACATAATTATCCACACATCAATGCTTTTCTGATGTGTAATTTTTTTTTAAAATTTTGTCTCTCTTCATAAAGCACTCTCCAAGGTTGTTATGGTCTTCCGTCGGTCCATTATAAAGGTCGTCAAGGGGACTACTATATTCTTGTACGTTTCTCTTCATATTTTTCACTCGAGCCTGTAGTCGCATTTAGTCGGATATTAGTTTCTTACATATTGCCAGTGATGAATACATTACTTCTGATTTTTTTCTGCTTACCAAGTTGGGTTCCGTGAAAGCCAGGTTATGGATATGCTAGGCCCGAGTTTATGGGATGTCTGGAACACTAATAACCAGATGTATGAAAGAAGAATTTTTCCTATCAATGTCACGGTCAGTGTGTTTAATCTCCAGTGTCTTTTCTAATTGCTTTAGCTCTTTGCACAGGATGTCGGAAGAAATGGTTGCTTGTATAGGGGTGGAGGCAATATCAATACTAGAGCAGCTTCACTTTAGAGGGTACTTCCAAACTTTTACCGTCTCTGTCTCTATGTCTCTCAGTTTCTCTCATATTCTTCCAAATTTCTTTCGCAGTTTTGTGCATGGTGATGTGAAGCCAGAAAACTTTTTGCTTGGTCAGCCTGGATCACCAGATGAGAAGAAGTTGTATTTGGTTGATCTTGGTTTGGGTATGTCTTTTCTCCTAAATAGCAGGAAATCATTCAATTCCTCACATCCAGTATGCTATCTGTAATTTTGTATTTCAGCAACTTGTAAATAGAGTGGTAATTTGTCTAACATCTTGTGTACTTCAGCTTCAAGGTGGAGGAATGCATCTTCTGGTCGTCATGTTGATTATGACCAAAAGCCTGATGTTTTCAGGTGACTAATTTTGTTTAAGTTACTTCTTTTATGGCTGAAGGTTATATTTACCGCACTTGTGTTTGGAGCTGCTGGGGGAAACAACACATTGTTAAATGTGGAGAAAGGAAACTTTTTAATGTGCAGCTAGACTGCACCTTGAGACCGTTGAAGAAATAACATTCCTCAATCTAGAAGAGAACAAATGAAAGCACTATAATATAATTTAACTTACTAAGGAAGAGCACCTGTTCTGGTTACACTTTCTACACTAGTTTCTCGTTTGCTTTAAAAGTACCAAGGACACTAGTTTTATAGACATTTTGGAAGAGTCTACTGGCATCAATTACGGACAACCAGCTTCTGTGACATATTTCCAATAGTAGTTTGATAGTATGCTGGTCAGTTACTTCAGGATCGTGAAGGATATTTATCTACCCAAAACAATGGAAGCTAGGAAAGAAAAATCAGCGCAACTGATTAAGCATTTAAGTTTGACTCGAGAATTCTCCAAAATGGAAGAAATGTCTCTTTATCTTTTCTTTATTTGCTGTGGTCGGTCGTTATTTTTTTGTTAATTTACTGCTGGTATGGTCTGGTACTGTCGTAATGTCACATGTTTAAATGTTTGGCGTATAGACATTTTTCTGTTTTATTTATCGCCAAATACTTTTTACCTGAAGTTTATTTCTTGAGCATGCTTCTATTTCTCATGACTTTTTACCAGAGGAACAGTGCGATATGCAAGTGTGCATGCCCATTTGGGAAGGACAGGAAGTAGGAGGGATGACCTTGAGTCATTAGCTTATACTTTAATATTTCTCCTTAGAGGAAAGCTTCCCTGGCAAGGTTTCATTGTAAGTTCATATGTGCACTACCATTTGGAACTTCGTTTTTTAGACTGCTTTTATTTCTTTGTGGTTTATAACATGCATGTGTGTATAAAGCTTTGACAGCGGTATTTCATTGCAGGGGGAGAATAAAGGATTCCTTGTTTGTAAAAAGAAGATGGCAACTTCTCCAGAGATGCTTTGCTGCTTATGTCCTCCCCCTTTTCAACAGTTTCTTGAGATGGTGACCAATATGAAATTCGATGAGGAACCCAATTACTCAAAACTTATCTCCCTCTTTGAAGGTAGCATAGTCTCTGCAGCATCAGTGCGACCAATCAGAGTAGATGGTGCCTTAAAGGTTGTTGCATGGTGATTTATGTCAACTAAGTGAAATTTGGAATTTAATGGTTTTGTTTCTTCATCTAAGTCTGCCATGTTTTACAGGTGGGCTTAAAGAGGGGGAGATTGCTTCTTGAGTTAGAAGATGGTGAGCAGCCTAGGAAGAAAATCAGACTAGGTACTCCAGCTACTCAATGGATCTCGGTCTACAATTCCAGAGCATCAATGAAGCAGAGGTAAAGGGCAGACATTAAGCGTTTTTTCTGAACTACTTTAATCCTTATGTTGCTCGTGAACGCCGAGAGGCCAAAAACAATTAGCATAGTTGGCCTACTGCATTTGCATGTTCACACCATAGCAAATTTGCTCTATCAAAGAGATTGAGACCGTGAGGCACTTTTACCAGTTTTTTGACTATTTATCTCCTAATGAAATGGATACTACTCGAGGTTTGACTAACGTAACGTTATTTATTTGTGTATTCCAATCTGTACTTCATTTTGGAGAATGGTTTGTACTATAATGATCAATTCCCCATACTAAGAGATGTTGTGAAAGTGTGGACCATCTCTTTCTGCGTTGTCCAATAGCCTTGAAGTTATGGCATAAACCTTTAGGAGCGTTTAGTATGAGCTGGGTGGGTTATACCTAGTAGAAATGTGCCCTATTTGAGATGTATTATGGTTTTGTAGAAAAGGGAGAAAGTACCGATTTTGTGGAACTGTGTGATAATGACAGTTTATTGGGTGGTGTGGAAGGAAGAAATGAGAGAACATTTGAAGATAAAGAACACGGGGATATTCTTTGGGATAGAGTAAAGTTCTTGGCTTCCCTTTGGGCATCGATTGCTAAGGAGTTGAAGGATATGCCTTTGCTTGCAATTCGACTTGATTGGATAGCGGCTTGTATTAGAAGATCATCCTCTTAGTTCTTGGATGATTTATTGTATTTTTTCCTTTTCAAGAGGTAGATCCCTTATCCAATATTATGTACTAGTCTTCTTCAAGTTGTTTAAGAAAATTTTTGTTGCTTATCTAAAAAAAAATTGTAGGTAAAATGGGTCTTGACATTTATGAACGCTTGTTTTACATTTTTCTCTGTTGTTGAATGTGCTAGGATTGTATTGCTACCAATTTCCTGCTATCTTTAAGTGTTTATCTTTTCTTCTACAACTTTTAAATTGCATTTGGTGATCACGTTATACAATGCCCTGAGTGCTGAAGTGATTGTGATGATCTCTCTCTATCTCTCTCTCACACACACAAAAAATAGCAACACCTGCTTTGCTATGAGTGGATTCTCTTCAACATATAAATAACTGATTAGTGTTGCGAGACTAGACTATGTTCACATCTAGAATTTCATTATTATCTTTGTGAAAGCAAAATTTGAAAAATACATACAACTTTAATATTCCTTTGGAATGTAAAATTAACTTCCAAGATCTTAAGATTCACTTCAACATTTAATTGGAATCTGTTGTACTCTTTGTTTTCCACTCCTGGGTAACTCTATTCTATCCTTGCCTGTCCACTAAGCTTCATGTGTAGTTTGGGCTCGCATCTACTGCTTTTGATTATCATAGCATCATTTGGGTTGAGAGTGCTTTGCAGCATTGGACTTTAATGGCCCTTATTGTGGCCAAGGCATGACCACAGGCCAGAGCTGTTCTCTCTGAAATTTCTGTTTCTACTAGGTTGTCTGAGAATTATTTTCTTACTGAACCAGTTATGGGAAATCTTGACTGCAGATATCACTACAACGTAACAGATTTAAGACTTCATCAGCATGTGGAAAAAGGAAAGGAAGATGGCTTGTACATTAGTTCCGTAGCTGCATCAACAAATTTGTGGGCTGTTGTAATGGATGCAGGGACGGAGTTCACATCCCAGGTTTATGAACTCTCTCCTGTTTTCTTGCACAAGGTGGGTGTTATGGAACTGCTTAGCATGATCTCATCATCTCATTAATCAAAATATATAGTGCCTCAGCAAGCAGTTCTGTATTTTTCTTCAGGAGTGGATAATGGAGCAGTGGGATAAGAACTATTACATAACTTCGCTTGCTGGTGCATCCAATGGCAGTGCCTTGGTGGTAATGTCCAAGGGTGAGTGATTGACTTTGGCTTAATATTTTCAGGCTTCTGTTCTGTGTAAGCTCCTGTTTGTGATAATTGAAAGCACAACATAATATTATTGAGGCACAATAATTCAGAACAACCTTAAAGAAAAATTAATATATAAGAGATCTTTATATAGTAGAGTAAAAATAAAACAAACAGACTAAGTTAGGACAACATAAAAAGAAAACAAATGACTAAATTACCCCTAAGTCTAAATATATTAACTACTCTAACACCCTCCCTCAAACTCATGATGTGATAGCAGAAAACATCAAGAGTTTGTTAAGAAGAAAACGATCAGCAAATAGCCAATGCAATCAAACTATCTTTGCTGTTGTGAAGGCCATGGCATGATACTCAGCTTCAACAGATGATCGAGTCACAACAGTTTGTTTCTTACTTTTCTACGAAATAAGAGAATCACCAAGGAAGAGACAGAAACCAGTAGTGGACTTGCAATCCATAGAGTCATTAGCCTAGTCCGCATCAGAGTAAGCACAAAGTTCCAGAGACTTAGAGGAAGAAAATAATGAACTTAACAAATACTCCAAGTGTAGGCTTAGCGAATTAAACCCCAAACCAGCAGTCCAACAGAAAGAAGCCCAAATCAACAAATCCAAAGGATTGGGGTTGCCCAACAAAAACCACCAACGATAATGCTCAACAAAGGAAATAAGAAAAGTCAAATGAACAACCCAACAGAGAGAAGTTCAAATCAACAAAGAGAAGAAGAAAAGCCAAACCAATAGCCCAACAGAGAGAGACCCAAATCAACAAAGAGAAGAAGAAACAACCCAACAGAGAGAAGCCCAAATCAACAAAGAGAAGAAGAAAACCTAAACCAACAGTTCAACAGAGAGAGACCCAAATTAGACAGAGTAGAAAAAAAGTCAAACCAACCGCTTAACAGAGAGAGACCCAAATCAGATAAAGAGAAGAATGCCAAAAGGAATTAGGATTTCTTACCTTGCAACAAGAAGCACTAGCAAAAGAGAAAAGCCAGCGAACCCAACAACCAAAACTAGCAATCTATGTAGCAATAGGTTCACTGAGGATGACCTAGGAACGAAGGCACAGAAATGGCTAGCCGACACACAGGGAGCACAAATCCAATCATAAAATAGAAAGAAGAAGGCACCAGCGAAGCCAATAGAGACCTCCCCAGAACAAAAACCAACCAGCAGAAGCTTAGAGAAGAAACTAGAACTAAAAGAAGTAGCCAACGCCAAACAATCTAAAGTTCACCTCAAATTAACTCAATAACTTTGCAAATCAAATACCCATAACAAATTGAGGCTTCTTACACAACAATACAACAAAAATGGCACTAAACATCGAAATTCGGCACTATTCACAGCATGAACAGTAATTTCGGCACCGTTCACAGCATGAACAGTAACTTCGGTAATGTTCACGACTTGTGAACAGTACTAGGCACTGTTCACTGAGTGAACAGAAACATTGGTATTGTTCACAGCTCTGATACCACATTGACTTTGATCAATCATAGAAAAATAAGAGAAAGAAGAACAAAATATGATTGAGGCACAATAATCCAGAACAACCTTAAAGAAAAACTATTATATAAGAGGTCTTTATATAATAGGGTGAAAAGAAAACAAACAGACTAAGCTAGAGTAACATAAAAAGAAAACAAATGACTAAATTAACCCTGACAAATATACTAACTGCAAAACAGGGGCATATGACATGATCAATTCGGTTCTCATATTGTTTGGGTTTATTGTCTAACAATATGAATGGCAAAGAACCTTAGATGATAGCAAAACATCGTGAAGAAAAAAGTCTCAAAGAATACGGTTCTCTGCAAAAAAGAAGACATAGTCACTGTCAAAGAACCACTACCATTAACTTCAGAAAAAAGAACCACTACCATTGCTAGATAAATATTTTGTGGCTAAATTTCCATTTTTTTCTTGCCACGGCAGGGACAACTTATACTCAACAATCATACAAAGTTAGTGATGTATTTCCTTTCAAATGGATCAATAAAAAGTGGAAAGAAGGCTTCTCTGTTACCTCCATGACCGCTGCAGGCAACAGATGGGGGATTGTCATGTCTCGAGATGCAGGTTATTCAAATCAGGTATTATACTCTTGAATTTTTGTCCTATTTCAAGTTAGATAATGTACTGTATGAAGTACTTATATTCGCTCTTTATTTACAGGTTGTTGAACTTGACTTTCTGTATCCCAGTGAAGGGATTCACAGAAGATGGGAGAATGGATATCGAATTACGTCCACTGCTGCAACAGGAGATCAAGCTGCATTCATACTAAGCACGTCCAAGAGGAGATTGCAAGATGTGACACAAGAAACTTTACGGACATCAGCTTTCCCAAGTACTCATGTGAAGGTACGACTACTACTACGTATAGCATATAATTTTCACAATTACAAGTCATATGATAATGTTGATGAGTTGTTTTATCTCATACCAGGTAGTAACAGTTGCTTTATTTTTTCTGGCAGGATAAATGGTCAAAGAATTTGTATATTGCATCAATCTGCTATGGGAGAACAGTTTCTTGAAGTCTGGGATTTGAGAGAATAAAAATTATGGTACGTGTCCCTGGCTAGCACATGCGATGTTTAGTGAATCTTCATGTTACGTATCTAAAGGGAATCAATTTCCAAATAATTAATGAGTTAGTTTAACGCCATCTTAACTTATTTTCTTCTTGCTTGATGTAATTATTTTGTTCTATGAAACAGTTGGTGCGGTTATTGTTTCCTATACTTTTTATTCCCTATGACGTATTTTGACTATGCATTTACCTGCCATGTGCTCTTATTAGAAAGTTGATCTAGAAATCTGTAATCGATCTTGATTCATGTATTGGATTTTTTGGATCGCTTAGCATCTGGCTTTTTTTGATTTGAATACTAAATTGTCGGAGTAATTGCTGGAAATTTGAAGTTGTTTGGATTTTGTTTTTACCCTTGAGCTTGTCGCTCATTGCTTGCTGATGAATAGTTACTTACCAAAAAATTTGAAAACAAAGTTTTTTTTTTTTTGGTAGTTTATGTACAGGCTAGCACAGGTACAAACAGAGGGAGCCTGTTGCTGAACTTCCAGAGAACATGCAAAGAACTGGAACCCTGATGGAAAAGGATGTAGAGATCAGAACGTACTTGGAGTCTGGAGAATGTTTTGTCAGAGCAAGTCCAAAACTCATCATGTTTGTAGAGTTTCCAAAAGACGATATATCTGCTCAGATTTTTTCTTTTCTGGTATAGTTTTGTCTCTGATGAATGACACCATGGAGGCTCTTGAAGTTTTAAACCTTTTTCTTTTGTCCAATTACTTGCATATCAAAGTGGGTGCTACAAGGAATCACCCCCAAGATAAATGGTACATTGTCACTGTAGCTGTGAAAGAATTGTACCATACTCAGTTGTTGTCCCCTTTTATATGAGATTGGTATAAAGAGGAGTTGGATAATTGGTTGAGACTTTCATAGGTTCCATTTATATCAATGGTATTTTCCAGATTAGATCTCCGGATAAGATTAAAAAAAGTATTTCAGTTCCGGAGAGTTCAGATAATGGAGTATGATGCAGGTGGTTGTGAAGTTGACTTCAAATATTGCTGAATTTTTTTAATTATACTTATGTTCTTGCATTAATTCAACTATGACGTTTGAACATTTATTATGGCTTGGCAAAAAGAGTTGATATCCATTTCTTGTTTAATTGGACAATGACATACTCAAAACTTTTTTTCCTTTTCTTATTTACTAGAAATGTAACATGTATTTCAAGTAAACAAATTTAAATGATATTATTTTTATAAAAAATATAAATTATATGTGTAATTAAATTAAAAAATAAATTAGGTGCTAAATAATTAGTTCATATTTTAACTATTGATTTATTCTATAAGTGTTTGAGTATTCATTTGTCATTTATTTGAGTTTCTCATGACATTTTTAAATATTTGTACATCTAATTATGTATTATAAAATTATTAATTTTTATTTTGTTAAATAGACTAATTAAATCACTTCTAATATTATTATGTTATTTGCATACCAAAAAATAATATAGTATATATTTAATCGTATAGGACTTTATTTTTTTGTATGTATATAAATAATTATATATAATTGTACTAATAATAAATGAGCTCAAAAAAATTTTTAAATTTGTTTTTAAAAAGAGTCAAAAAAAGTTAAAAGTTAAATTAGATGTAAAAAATAAAAATTAGATGAAAGTTTATAGGTGGGTATAATTGACTTTATTATAATAATTAGAGAGAAAATAAGAAATTAAATTTTTTTTTGTAGATACTGATATTTATAAATAGTATAGATATAGATATAGATAAATCGGAGAATTCCAAGGCAACAGAATAATATGTTATTCTGATTATTGTAAGTTTATTACCTTGTGTTCATGATTTGTAACTTTGATATGTCACAATCAAAATCTATTATTTGGCTAGAAACATAACACGGTAACATCGAGTATTTTGGTCAAAATTGTGTGCTGAAAACGAATTTAAAAATTGTTTAATCTTGTGTTGTTAAACTGATGGATAAACAATATTAAACTATTACATTTGTTTAAACTTCATATAATATACTAAAAAACATTATTTTGCTTCAAAATAAGTATAACTTAATTTATGGCATTCAATATTATTATTATTCATTATTTTTCATAAAAATATTTATCCAAACTAATTTTACCTAATGTTAAAAAAAAAAAAAAACTAATTATACCGACACATCCAAACTTTGTACGAGATTGGATTATATTGTATTGCAAAGGGGGTAATAGTCATTTCACTTAGATAATGTTAATTGACATGTGCATTGGGTATTGGGTTGGACATGTGCATTGGCCTCACGGTTCCCACTTTTTCTAGTCGAAATTAAATATTGAATTAGATAATCTACCTTAGGCTCCATTACTTTTAATAGAGTTGGATGAGATTAGATTTAATATTCAATTCAACTCAATCCTCCCATGACAAGTGGAACACGCTACACCCTAAAAGTTATTATGTAATTTTTGGATGTATCTGAGGTCGATCCTAAAAAATTTATGGTTGACCCCTAAAAAAGGGTTACTTGACTCTAGTTTTTTTATTTTTTTTGATAAGATCGATCTCAAAATTTGGAGGTGAATATTAATTTTTTGGTTATAACTTGACTCTAAAAAATTTTATTTTGAGACACAAAAGTTGTAAGCTTTGATATAGTATCCCATATCAGAGTAAAATCCTTTTTTTATACTATATTTTGTTTCATTCAATTAAAATATAATATATATATATATATATATAGAATAATTATTTTAATTCATTGTTTTTATGATCAATAGTGACAAATAAATTAAAATAAGATTAGAGATTGTTTTTGACATGATACCAATTTTTTTTTTTGAGTATCATTGGCTTATTCGCATTTAATGCTGTCGATTTGTATTGTCCGAAAAGAGATATATCAATTTGGATTCATTTGTAAAAGAAAATAAAAAATGGACGCTTTATAATTGAAGCAAAGTGTCTCAATAATGAATTGCTGTCAAGTTGCAAAGGAGGTAAGCAATGGAGGGTCCAGACTGAGTTTCAAATTGGGGCAGCCTAGTGATAATGCAAACCATAAAAAAATGAGTTCATATGGCATTATTTGGATGCAGACAACAATTATTTGAAAAGAGGGAGAGATAGAGAGACCCATAGCCTGTCACAAAATATCAAAGAAGCCCATTACACAAAAGGGGAAAGCCTATGGTACCGCATTCAGTATTATATCGTTATTTATTATTTTTTTTGTAAAATTATAACTTAAAAGAGAGAAGTAACAATTGTTTAAAGGAAATTTATGATCGATCAAGAGGACCATGATCGATGATTGATTATGAACTTTTCCTGAACAATTGTAACTTATTAATTTTGAGTTGTAACTGATCTTTAAAGTTGTAATTTTGTTATCAATCTCAATCTGTCATGATCGATTATGATTTTTAAAAGTTGTAACTTATACATAAAAAAAAAAAAAAAACTTAACCTTAAATAATTGTAAATTTCAATAGAGTAACTCATTCGGTATCTTAGTCTTTCTCTACATTAAGAGTCCTGGATATTTTGCAAGATATTGGGAGAAAGTCAAATCAATCTCCGGGGTTGAGAAAAGTTTTTATGACTATCACAAAAAAGTGTATTTAGAGGAATTTTTTTTTTCTGAGAATATTACTATCATAAAAAATTAATTTGTTTTTATAAATATTATTTAACACAGGATGTTATTGTCACAAAGATTTTTTAAAATTTCATTTATTACGACAAGGTGTTATAATGTTTGTTTACTACTGTAAATATTATTTGAGACGACAGTTGCCACCACAAAAACTTTTTGTGACAATAAACATTATTACAACAAAAAACTTGTTTCAAAAAACCCTAATTATTGTAGTAAGTCTTATGTGTGTCTTATACTTATATTGGAAAACACTATATAACACAAAAGGATTGAAACTCGGTGGCGTTACTAGTTAGGGCCGATTAGGTTGATTCGCTAATCAAATTAAGTTGATTCGAGAGTGTAAAAATAGAAAATTTTTGGAGCATTAAAAAAAAGGAAGGTTTTGGGTGTTAAAAAAGGAAATTTTTGGGCCAAAAAAAAGAGAATTCTTAAGGCAATTTTGTCCATTGAATTAGACAAAAATTTTGTATAAATTTGAAACGTCATTAGTTCAAGATAAGTTTTAAAATTTAAACTATATTGTACTAAATCATACAGATTGGCTACAAGACTCGTAGCTTCCTCAGTCCTCATCATCCCAAATCCCTGATCTATTTAATTTGTCTATTACCATTCGGGAGAAGTGGAACGAGATGAGAGGAACAATTGCATAAGCTATATGAGAGAAAGAGAATGGCTAATTACTTGGGCGAGGAATAAATTGGTTTCATTGATAAAAAAGATTTTAGATATATAAGAGGGAAAAACGTAAGTGGACAAATAAATTGCTTCAAATAAGTCACTTTGAGACATAATTTCTTATTCAAATCTAATTGATTATGGACAAATAAATATACCACGTTAATCTCTTCATGGAAGAGAATGTGTTTAAACTTGATCCCACTAATTACGTGGTGTGGATCCCACTTTTATTTAAGCCTCAAATTGTTCAAATAAACTTGTTTAAAACTATTTTTTCCAACAAACTTTATACTTGCAATTGCATGTTTGATATAGACAATCAAATCTATTTGTGGATCCATCATTTGTAATAGGATTCCTTAGAGTTTTTGTATTTTTCGTGATTCTCTTCCCTCGGCGAGACTTCAACATTAAAAGAAGAAATCGTAAAGTGCTTTAATGTTTTCCTATCAGTTCGTTTTTTTCCCTCTTTCTCACACTTTTTTCCACCCACAGAAAAAAGAAATATTTCAATCTCTTCATATAACATATACATTCTACTGGATGACAATTTTTCGATACACGTCCTTGCATTATTATTAGCCGTATGTTGTTGAGCAGCAGTCTTTGAAAACATATAATCTATGATTGATGTAATGAAATTAAAAATGAAATAAAACCTAGTTTGAGAAGTCAACTTGCTAAATGAGTCACCACCCTTATTATAAAACTCTTTCTTTCCCCTTCATTGGGGCTGCGTGCCGTAGTGACTTTGACAATAAGAATTAAAGAATGCAACAAAAAACTGACGACGGATTGAATAAAGTATTTAACTCGTGTTATTTTAGTCTCGACATAAACGGATTATTAAATTTTTGACAGAATAATCACGTATTGAACATGTAATATTATCTAAAAAAAAATTGTATATGGTCACTTATGTCAAAAAATTTGACAGGTTATTTGATTAGGGACCAAAGTAATACGGATTGAATATTTTAAGATAAAATTGACAAAATTAATATAATAAAAATTAAACTAACAAAAAAATATATATTTTAGGGATCAAATGTTATTAACCGTTAATATAATCTTTACCAGTAGGCTCAATACATCTAGGGTTGCTGCAACTTGCAAGCTGCAAACCTGCTACACGTGAAAAATAATAATTGGATGATAAAAATAAAAAATAATTCAAGCACATGGGTTGATGTTTAATTTTTTTGAGAATTGAAGTTTTATATAAGAAAATGATTATTTGTACTTAATTTGTATATAATCATAGTTATTGTCTTGAAAGCAACTCCCTCCAATATTAAAACTCATAAATGGTTCTGACTGCTACAATAAATTTTAGTTTTTAGACTAAATTTCCAAATTTCCTTATGTAATATTGCTCTTTATTAATTTGAGAATTATTGGTGATCAGTAGCCGTATAATAACAGCATAGTAGCACCAATGCTTTTATATTTGTAACTTTTTGACTAGCTCTCGAAGCCAACGCTGGTCTTCCATGGCAAATAACTATGAACTTTTTATTAGGGATCTAATTCAATATTATTAAATTAATTATTATTTTAAATATCAGATGGAATTTCGATCCAATGAAAATTAGGTGAAAATAGCTTTTTTATTTTTATTTTTTAATTTTTTGTGAAGGAATAATTAGGAAGCTATGACTGTTCGGTTCATTATCAAACGTTTCTGGAGTCGGTCCTTCGCAAGAAGCCAAGTAACTTGTCTCGTATATATCTATCTTATTGTTTTTCTCTCTGGTGGACCAGAGAAAATCACAAGCAGCTACAGGTCTTACTCGACACAGAGAGAGAGATGGCGGTTCAAAGCAATGGAAAAGCAAACTCTTTGATCAAGATTCCTGAGATAAAGTTCACGAAGCTATTCATCAATGGAGAGTTCGTTGATTCCATTTCAGGTTTTTACTTTCTTACGCGTTCTAATTGTTCTGTCCTCTTTCGTTGAAACGAGATTTCGTAATCTTTTCCCTCTCTCTCTCTCACACACACACACACAGTTGTTTATCCTTGAAACTGCGACAATAAGTGAGAGAGAGAAGAGATTACGAAATCTCGTACCACGTAATGGAGGAGGCACGTATTTACTAGTATATCATCTGCAATCGCCTGAATTTTGAGACGTTCTTCGAACCGATCATAGGCTTTATTGAGTTAGGCTGGAGTCCATTGTAAGAACTGTTTATGAGACTTTCATCTCATACAGCTCAGGCAAAAACACTCCAATACTAGTTACAACGGATATGAGATCTAATCTCCCCTTGTTCCTCAGTAGCTCACAGAATTTTTTATCTTGAAACTGCGACAATAAGTGAAGAAGGAAAGACTTTGCCACCATCATTATTTGCACAAAGTTTGCTGTTCTTAAGGTTGAGCCAAATCCAGATTATGAGTTTGGGATTGAAGATCGACTCAGCTAGCTTTATATATTTATATATATTTATTTTTGCGTATAACAAAAGCATTTCATGAATGTTCAAGTGAAGGATGATAAATCCATTCAAGATACAACGAAACATTTTGAACTTTTAACGCTGACCAAGGCAATGGACTTTTCCCTTCTTTTCGTTCTCTATTTCCAGTCCAGTTTTTCACCTTTCCTTCCTAATTTTCTCGATAAAGACTATGTCGAGATTTGATGCGGAACCTTGAGTTTAATTGAAGTAATTTGTAAAAATGATGATCAGAAAACTTATACAATATTATAATTTCATTAATAAAAACTAAAAATATAATATCAAAAAAATAATATTTCGATAATTGGACCCAATATATTAACAAGAAACTTAGGCAGTGGATTGGTCAAAGGTCACCTCATGGTAAGCTGTTCTTAGAAGAAAGTTATTTTGTTTTTTTTTTTTTTGGATAAAGAAAAGAGCCAGTACAATACTTTTTAAAATCAATAAAATAGCAACCAAAGACTCATCAACTTATAAACTCAGTACCTCAATTCTGGTTTTTGCTATTAATGGCCGATGGTTAAGTTTATCATCCTTCACTTGAACATTCATGACATACTTCTAAGAATTCATGACATACTTCTAAGAATTACTATTCTTGAGGAGTAAAGGTACAAGTTTAAAAAGAGATTTTACTACTGTTTAGGAAAGGTTACGATCGATCACAGACACTCGTGATCTATCATAAAAAATATGATATCGATCCCAACTTTTGATGATTGATCATACTCTTTGAAGTTATAATATACACCTCAAAAAAAGATATAACTTAACTTTAAAAAATTATAAATTTTAGGACGTTACCGCGGTACCGTAGACTTTCCCAAATTGAAAAAGACCATCTCATGAGGTCCACATGGTCTGCATACATCACAATAATGTGGCTGCGTGACTTCGGACCATATCAGGATGTTATGCACAAATAACGTGATTGAGTGTTGGATCGTTTTCCTCGGTGTGATTGACTTTGGTTGAAGTTCGGATGAATTACTCCGAATAGATTAATCAGCAGGATAGGTATTGTTTCACGGAAAAAAAATGAGTTAAAAATACTGAATCAGTAATTTATAATCGATGATGAAATATTGTAATTATTCATGAATCACTTCAATTAATTTTAATTTCTTCATTTATAAGTTGTAACTTGATTTTTAAGGATAGTAATTTGACATTAAAACATCTATTGTAATTGCTATCCAAATTCATAAAATTGATTCTAACTTTCACCACGTTGATGTTATCTTGTTACCCGAATTGTGGATTGATTTGATATAAGATATAGATACGAATATGATATTTCTTGGGATACACATTGTGGTGGAGTCAAATTTAGTTAATACAGTGTTTTGAGTCGGGATTCATTTTGTAACTCTTACCCGGATCGTATTTCCTTATTTGAATTAGGGATAAAAAATATGAGAAATTTGGATCACAAATTCACTGAATCAATCTCTTTTCAAATCTGGCGATTCTGGTTCTTGTGACACTAGTGGTGTCTACAATCCCGATATCTATGGGCATGACATGACATGCCCCTCTTTGTGAATCACTCTTCGTAGATTTCAGTTTTACTATTGCATACCATGTCTATGAGTTTAAATGTGAATCAATTTTTTGAGTTTGCTTAGTGTTGCTATGAACTTTTAAATGTTGCCACTCTGAATTCTCTGAGGGGTAACAAACTTAAAATGAACAGGAAGGACATTCGAGACCAGAGATCCAAGAACAGGGGAAGTGATAGCAAGGATTGCAGAAGGAGACAAGAAAGATGTTGATTTGGCTGTCGAGGCTGCCCGTTATGCCTTTGACCATGGTCCATGGCCTCGTTTACCTGGCTGTGTAAGTATTTCTTTCTTATTTGTTAGCATGTACGTAATAATAGGGATAAGGTTAGGGTATCCTAGACGTACTGTGTCGAATATTGGATGGAATCATTGATTTTAATTTACATGATCGGTTGAAAAATAATAAAATGATTGGATTGATGATAAAATAGAATCTTAGATAGCGAACAGTGATTCGATTGATGATGAAGAAAGAGAATTATTAGTTCAAGTCTCCACTTTAATGACATGAAAAAGGATTTGCTATGAAAGGGAGAGAGAAAGTACAACTGCGTAAGTACTCTAAGATTCTGTCTTTGTTTAAGAAAGTGTTAGCTTGCATAACGTATCCCCTCCTCCCCTTGGAGTCTGAATCCACATGTGTGTCCTCTTTACTTAACTCAGCCTAAACTTGACTTAGTCCAAGCAATGCCCAAAGACTTCCGTGCCTTTCTTGGTCTGGCCAACCCAATAGACAATTTTTGACAAGTTTTTCTTCATTTTAAGAACAAAAAACAAAATTACAGGGATAAAATGAAAAGTGTTTCTTACGATTACGCCCAACAGCCTACTTGGACAATTTGTCATTCTACCATTGAAAGTGACTATTTTCACTTCGGCCAATACACAAGATGAGATTTTACCATCGGTACACGTGACATATTTTTATTGGATGAAAAGTAAAAAAACAATACCAGAAAGTGATATTTCAATGTGGGGGCATCATGGGCTTGCTAATCCTCAATGGATGCAAATAAACAAAGTAGAATATCAATAATATAAGATGAGACCACCATCATGACCGTGAATTTGATCCTTGTGTTATAAGGTAGCCTTTAATGAGCAGGAGCTTAACAAGAGGAAGTCCCACACAATAGATGTATAAAAAGGTGGCAGTTGTGAGGGCAATGACATCCTAGATATGGGCGCTGTGGCATCCATGGAATGGACCTCATGGCAGCAACATTAGCCACGATGAACCTTTGTATGGGTTATGGGAAGTTTCTGTATTTCAAGTGCAGGCTGTCATGGGCCAAGTGAGAAGATCTCTGTAGACCATCATGTCATCTGCCGTGTGTGAAACTGAGAACTTGTCAAATTTCAATCAATTCCTATCAATATCCACGCCAGGAAGTTAAGAGCACAAATCCAGTAACCCAAACAATATGTCCAAATAAGAACATCCATGACCAACGTAATAAACTACTCATATCAAGTGGGTTAACCAGCCTATCAAATAAGTGGAAGATTCATTAAATTGTGAAACCTGCCATAATGTGATGTGCTTCCAATGCCAATAAGAAGTAACCCATCCACTGGTATTTAACATCTAGACAAATAAAGCATTGCGTCAAACTCTTCTTAGGTGTATGAATAGTCATCACTATATTAGGAATCACAATTAGGTCTACTAATAATTGTTGGGTTAGAAAGAGAAATATATGCAGGGATACAATATTGTACTGGACTTAAACATGCCGGACCTTTAGGAATTCTTCAAGCTCTAGCAGATTGTACAGAATTACTTTTCAGAGAGAATCTTCTTTCATCTATAGGAGATAGTCGTTTATTAAGTATCAAGGTCATTAAGTAACCAACTATTTGCACAAGTTCAATTTTTGGTCCAAATTATTGTAGCAGCAAGAGATAATAGGCAAACAACAATTTTGTTTAGTAGCACATCATTGCTCAACGTCAAAACAAGCTTCTGTAGCTGTTTCATTCTAAAATGTGGATCTTAAATGTTTCTTCTCTTTGTCCCCTTTGATTGGTGATCAGGAAAGGGGAAGGATAATGCTGAAATTTGCAGAGTTAATTGAGGAAAATATAGAAGAATTGGCCGCCTTGGAAAGTATTGATGCTGGGAAACTCTTTGGATTCGGCAAAACCGTTGAAATTCCTGGAGCAGCAGAAACTCTCCGTTACTATGCCGGTGCAGCAGATAAAATTCATGGACTGACTCTAAAAATGTCTAGGGAGCTTCAGGCATACACACTGCGTGAACCCATTGGTGTTGTAGGACTTATCATCCCCTGGAACTTTCCATCTGTTATGTTTTTCATGAAGGTTAGCCCAGCATTGGCTGCTGGGTGCACCATGATTGTTAAGCCTGCTGAACAGACACCTCTGTCATCTCTCTATTATGCTCATTTGGCCAAGCTGGTAAGTTTAAATATTCAATTGCACGCTTTCACTTTCCAAAGCAGATCACACAGCACTTTGTCAATGTGGCCAATTAGTCACTTTCATTCGGCTGTATGTTATCCTCACCTGATGATTCTTCCTCAATTTTTCTCCGTAACCTTAAATAGGCTGGTGTCCCTGATGGCGTGATCAATGTTGTAACGGGGTATGGACCTATAGCTGGTGCTGCCATTAGTTCTCACATGGACATCGATAAAGTAAATATCTAATTTACTTATTAAATTTGTATTGGTGATCAGAAAGTTGGTAACAGTACTAAATCTAGCCTGCCTCATACCCTTCTAATGGTACTGTATGTATAATTGCTCATTGGTGCTATTTGCAGATTAGTTTCACAGGTTCCACAGATGTAGGACGTCTTGTAATGCAGGCTGCTGCAATGAGCAATTTGAAACCTGTCTCACTTGAATTAGGAGGCAAGTCTCCCCTCATAGTATTTGATGATGCAGATGTTGATAAAGCTGCAGACCTTGCTCTCCTTGGAATTCTATTTAACAAGGCAAAGTCAATTCTTTCAGAGTTTTTCTTTTCACTTTCATATTAACTAAGTTCATAGCTAAAAGATATAATGCAGTGACTTCTTTTTCCTTCTTCCAGGGTGAAATTTGTGTGGCTGGTTCTCGTGTTTTTGTTCAAGAGGGGATTTATGATGAATTTGAGAAGAAGTTGGCAGAGAAGGCAAAAACATGGGTGGTTGGGGATCCTTTTGATCCAACTGTTAATCAAGGACCCCAAGTATAAATTTCTGATCTTTATGATTTTCTTCTGAAAAAATTCTCAAAATGAAAACATCAAAAAGACTAATTTAAGAGGAAGAATTTATAATCACATTTATCAATCAGCTTGCCAAAGTAGGAAATGTTTCTTAAAATATTCCATCTACCTCAGCCCCCTTACGTATGCTTTGTGTGTTGCAGGTCGACAAGAACCAGTACGACAAGATACTTTCATACATTGAGCATGGCAAAAGGGAAGGCGCAACCTTGTTAACTGGTGGTAAGCCTTACGACAGAAACGGATATTATATTGAGCCAACAATATTTACCGATGTTAAGGTAACCCTCATTGACTCTACACCTGCTTGTGTTTTCTAATCAGTACCAGCTATACTAATTTGTTGTTTCTTGTTATTGGCTTGAGCAGGATGACATGATAATTGCAAAGGAAGAAATTTTTGGGCCTGTTATGTCACTTATGAAGTTCAAGTAAGTGGAATCAATTTGCAGCATCTTTTTTCTGTCGTAATGTTTCTGTTTTAGTTTTGCACAATTTCTTTAGATCAACTAGATTGTTCACTCTTCGCGCCATGTATCTTCTTCGCCTGTTGACAATTGCAGGACTGTCGAAGAGGTGATCAAGAGAGCTAATGCAACAAAATACGGCTTAGCTGCAGGCATCATGACCAATGACTTGAACATTGCCAACACCGTGTCAAGATCAATTCGCGCTGGTGTCATCTGGATTAATTGTTATTTTGCTTTCGATAGGGACTGCCCTTATGGAGGGTATAAAATGAGTGGGTTTGGGAGAGATTATGGAATAGAAGCCCTTGATAAGTATCTTCAAGTTAAAGCTGTTGTAACTCCCATCCATAACTCTCCTTGGCTGTGAACGAGGAAATGTATTCCCCATTAGTTATTGTATGCTACTTAGCTATGCATATGTACTGTATTGTCTTCCCTTCAACATGGATTTTTTTTTTATTGTAATATTATGTTTCAATGGGGCAAAAGGAAAGAAAGAGATCTGTTTTATTCTAAAAGAAATTCTCGTCAAAAAGAAAAATCTAAAAGAAATTAATACAATTTGATGAGAAATTGCTAGGGATGGAATTCAGCTAAGAATCTGTATTCTAGTGTGCTTGAGGTCACGAAGTTATTCCTAGTTTTGAACTATGTTATCGTTGTGATTTTTATTGAAAAAAAGAGTTAGCTTATAATTTGAAATGGACAACCAATAGGATATGATAGTTAAATTCTATTATTACCCCTCAACAATCAACATACATTTGATATAAATATAGCACCCATAACAAGGTTATTATGGTCACTTAATGTCTCATTAGAAAGTACAATTACGCCTTTTTGGTGAGACCCACTACAAACACTTAACATGTATCTAAATACGGGATGACATCTAAAAAAATGTATATAACAAGATTAAAAAAAATAATTGGATTAAATTGACGTAGGATTCAAAACCCAATATAATCCAACCTAATCGTTCAAAGAAACTTGCACCATATGGCATTTGTCACGGTTGTTCCGCCTATAAACCCATTCAACGGCCAAAACTTGCCACTCAACTGAGGCTCATTATTCTGCTTGTGGCAAACTTGGGAAACATGTTTGTGGCAAACATTATTCTGCTTGGTGAGCCGTTGGGTCAGTATTTCCGGCAACGTGGGAAACATGTTATCCATTAGGATAGTGCAGTTGATCACTTTCTGGTAGGCTTGGCCCAGCCCATTGACCCGCCAACCCTTTGTCAGATAGGCAGGCCAGGCCCGATTCCATCCCCTACATGGCTCGCTCCATCGCTACAGTTTATCGTCTGTAATTGTTGCATGCTATATCAGCACTGCAACCCTATGACCTGTGGCTTTTTTTATTTTTTTTATTTTTTTTTAAGGTTGAAAGTGTTCAAATCAATTTACACGTATTTCGATTAATTTTCTTCTTGATACGAATAAAAGTAAGCTTGACCTGTGGCTTTCAATCAACAATGTCTCCTGACCTTACTAAATAAGTTTGAATTTGCCTTATAAGAAAGTTTTGTGTATATTATTGAACAAGGCGTGGGCCCTACTCAACCCACCTACTCCCAAACCGAGCCCAACAAACAAACCCTCTGTTTCTCGTGGTTGCCAACCACATCCAAGTTCATAAGCGTAAATTCAACGTTAGGTAACCGATGCTATCAGATCCAATCAATTTTGATTGATTGTATTAGAAGGAACAAACAATGGAATGCTATCCACCCTCGCACACCCCCCATTCGATGGGTCAGATGCTCTTATTGTGGAATCTAGAAATAGTTAGCCGAAAGATAGTCTCACCTTATATCCAAGCTCACAATATTTTTGTAATTCAAATCGTCGTGTCTAAATTACAATTGAATAGTAATATTTTTATACCTCAAATCATAACTTTTTATTCTATGATGATGCAAAAAAAAAAAAAATCAAGTTGAAGTGCTTCGTGGAGTTTTTACGGAAATGTAAAGAGTACAAGTTGAAGAATTTTCTTTAATTTGTCTCACTTTATTATGTGCAAAAATTGTAGTTTAAATTAACTAACGATAGTGATTAACATGACCAAACTACAAAGACCACTTTGTTTGCTTAAAAGTTTCTAATTTGTTTCACTATGGTTCCCATTATTTCAGTTTTCTCACTCTAGTCCTTCGACTGTTTATATAATTTCTACCAAATGACATTATTGTATCTTTGATTGTATATAGCAATAACACAAGGGTGACCAAATTACCAGGTAAAAGGGGTGGCCCCACTTACCAGGAATAAAAAAACCAGGATGGCCCACCCCCAGAACATTTTCTTTCATTTTATTCTTCGGTTGGCTCTTCATAATAATAAAAAATGTGGTCCATGGTAATGTATATTCTTGAACAACTCCTATGTTTATATCATGCCCATGTACCATGAATACTTTTCACCATTGACAATCAACTTCAGTTGAGCAGCAGTTTTCCTCACACAGTCACACACACGGAGAGAGAGAGAGAGAGAGAGATGGCAGTTCAAAACAATGGGAGCTCAAAGTCCTTCGTTAAGATCCCTGAAATAAAGTTCACCAAGCTGTTCATCAATGGAGAATTTGTCGATTCAATAGCAGGTAACGTACTCTTCTTTCTTTCTTTGTCGCATCCTACTCCTCTTCCTCTTTGATCACACATACAATGAATCGGATACATCCATGATCACATCAAGTGTTTTGAAATTGGCTCTGGATAAGTTCGAAGTAGTTGGTGTGGGAAGGGTAGGGGATACAGGAGAGTTGGAGTGAGAAGATCGAAGGACAACAGGAAGATCATTAGAGATTCCATAGTTGGGTAAGAAAAGAAAGGTGGCTGCTGTTGATCCTGCTTTTCCATTAGTCTTAGGAAAAAGGTTACATTAAAAAGCATTTTGATGCTTTTTCTTTCTCCTTTCTTTTTTTTTCATTGGTGACGGAATGACTGAACTTCCCAATACTTAAGTCAGTATAACAATTGAAAGCAGATAGCATATAAAATGACATGTAGAGAAGAGGGTCTATCACTCTACAATAAATCCGAAATCTTACTCACTAATATAGAGAATCTCTTAAAGAGTTTTTGTTGACGATTCTCCTTACCTAGGCATTCTTAGAGATGAGACTTCTCCTGTGATTAGGGAACTTGCCGGTGATATATGGAAGATGAGTAAGTAAAAATTGCATATTTATTGAGAAGTTTCTGTCTATAATTGGTGGAGAGATAGGCTTTGTGGGTTTCATTACATAATTAATTCCATCTTCCTAATTCTATCATTTCTTTCAATTCCTTAGTCTACATGGTAATAATGTATAGTCCTATAACTATGGTGTGTGTGCAAGATCCTGCACAATATAAAAAACGAGAACAGATCTCTCCCTTGGTGAACTCGAGTGAGCCAGTTGAGTGACCAACCACGCTGCTTGGAACAGCCTGCGAGGTCCGGTGGTAACCTGGAACGGCAAAGGGAGACCCCGGGGGGAGCGGAAGAACGATCCAGTAAGGCTGAAAGAGGTCCCTGGAACAAAGAAGAACAAGTTAGAAGGGTGCCGGAGTGTTTTTCGGCGTATCCCCTCCGACGATCTAGTCAGTCTTTGAGAAAGAGAGAGGAAGGAGAAAATACTGAGTGTGTATTGTAGTAAAGAGTTTTTTTGTTGCATACCCGTCTTGCCTTTTGCAAGGAGTATTTATACCTCAAAAGCTCATGATTGCTGTCAGTGTAGTCAGTAGGTGATCATTAGGTACAGGCAGTGTGCGCACTGATTCTGATGAGGAATGTCTTTTCTTCTTAACTGCTCGGGGTCCCGAGCAATCAATGCTGGGTCATCGGGATGCGACGGTACAATGTACTCCTCTCGGGGAGGATGCAATAAATTCTCTGTATTAGGAGCATTTATTGCTTTTCATTTTCGAGCCTTATCGCATTGAATGCGGTCTCATCAAGGGAATGGTGTAATTAATCATTTGTTTTCCCAAGTCGCGTGTCAGCAACGGCATGCGGTTTCTCTGTCTTCGATGTGATATCATACGCCACGCGTCCATCCCCCATTGGCTGTGGCCCCTGCATTCCAGTACGTTCTGACACTAATTGTGTAAGACGAGGTCATGATGAATAGTTTAGACTAGCCTAGCCTAATAACCTGTACGTCAATAGCTTATCCTGGAGTAGAGGAAGCGTCTAGGACAGGGTACCTCTCGTCACCGAGGAAAGACTCATCTCGGAACCGAGGGAGGTATACCGACCGAGGTACCATATCAGACCGAGGTTACGTGTTGGTTGTAACTCGTACTGAAATGCCATGATCCTATATGACGAGTACCTCGGGGCGAGGACCTTTATGCGCCGATGGTGCTTTATCTTAATAACAGTGTTTTGATAAATACCGAGGACACGTGTCTTCATCATGGAGTATTTCAGAAAAGTCCCAGCACCTGGTAATCTTTTTGTTTTGCCTAGTTAGAGTTCTTGCCAAAGTTCAGAATCTCATGGCTACAACTGTTTGACTAGCTGAATAAATTAGCAGGATTATAAAACAAAGAGGTTACGTTTTTTCCACATGATTTTCTTTAAATAATCAGAATGTGTATCTATCACCCTATATAATGTTACTTTCATATGTGACATATTTTAGCACTGCCCGGTTTTTTTTTTAACTCACACAATGTGAAATCAATAAATTTGATTGATTCAAATTGACATGACCAATTAGGATGAATAATAGATACATTTTAGTTTCAAAAATAAATAACATAATTTTAACATGACAAATACTTTTAATAGTGAATACTAGTTTATGAAAAACCTATGATTGACTTTTGGTTCCAATTATAAATCTGATTTATGAGTTATAATTAAGCTTGATAATTCTGAACACGACTCATGAAACCGACACGGATTTAACAGATTTGGATGTAGTCTTAACGGGTTAACTCGGCACACCCGTGAAATAAATGAACCGATTTCGTATTTAACCCATAAATTCGTTTCAACCCGTTAACAATTATAATTTTTTTTTAAAAAAAGTTAGGTCTCTCAGTCTTTACCTTATATCACACCTCCAATCTTTTAGACTCATTCAAATTTAGTAATCATTTAATGTTTATTTTTTGTCTTTATTTTTTTGCTCTGCCATGATTTATTGTTATATTAAACAGGTCAAATATGTATAATGTGTAGCAAGTTGATGATTTTTCATATATACTCGAAATACTCTAACTTATTCTCTTATTTAGCGGGTAACACACGGATTGTATCGGGTAACCCATCTAATAAATGATTCGTGTATGAGTGTGATAGTTGATTCGTTTCTCTAAATAAATGGGATATGAATGAAAGATTTTTTGACATAAACCTATTCCGCCCGATACGAAACTGTTCCGCTTGATACGATTGTCTAAGTCTAGTTATAATTGTCGAACTCTAAAATGATACAATTGATAGATAAACCATATTATAGTTTCGATCATCTCATACGAATAATTAAACAAATGACATCATGATTGACTAGTATT